AAGGTCAACTTTGACACTCTTCTCCTTTTTCTCTTTCTCACCACAGAAGACAGTACACAGATAATCATGAGAATTCACAATGCTAACTGGATTCATAGTCAAGGTAGAGTATGTCCTATGGTTGTTCACTGTTCCTCCGAGGGGGTTGTCCATCTGGGTTCTCCAGGAAAAACTTGGTGATGCACAGCCAGTAGTATTGCATGTGAGTATGAGCGTTTCTCCAATCTGTGCAACAATTCTGCTAGCAGGTATAATCTCCATTTCAAAACCTTTAACTACAATAGGGAGAACATACATAAACTCAGCAGTATTCTCAAGATTTATTTTCCCATTTCTTCTCATGTTCTACTGTGAGACGAGGTCATTACTTTGCAAGTTTACAGTTGTGTGGAGGTTAAACTAATAAAGCTCATACAGTGGTTTACATCTCCAAAATACCCCATAAACATTGCTATTTTTGTCAAAGATAATACAGACTCAGATGACTCTAACAGACAGTTCTCATGTATAAAATGGCATAAACCCAATGCTGTCAGTGAAAATAAATGCATTGGCACAATATAACTTTTTTTGTCAGGTGGATCTGGTTCTAAAACTTTGTAACATTTGGTGGGGGGGGGTGGCAAGTAAGATAGCAAGGACAACTGCAGAACCACTTTCAACAGGACATTTAGTACCAAACCTGACTGATACTGCCAGGGATGACAGCAAAAATCAAACATGCAGTGATATACTGCAGTTGTCTCCTAGACTGTCTTTAGCGAACTCAATAAGAAAATTACTGTGTCATTGCAGAGCACAGAAAAGCTCAAAGTAAATGTCAAAAAAAGCTTCCTGACATTTTGACAGAACTACTTAATTGACAGTCGTATTCACTGAAATGTAAAAGCAACTGGAACAAAGAGAAATAAAGATCAAACAGTAAATTTTGGGTCAGTTTACACTTAATAAAATTAAAAATAAAGCAAACACCCCCCCCAACTTACCAGTCCTTAACACACACAAAATTATTAGCACAGCTTGGCTTGTTCTTCCCATCTGTTTTAACATTTGTAATTGCTGTTACTAGGTGAAGAAAGTAAATTCAAAAGCCTTGCTTTTTCTTTTCTGTGAAGAGGCACAGTGAGATCCTGCTGCTCCACAACAGTTTATTAGAACAGAGCCAGCGTGCTCTTTATAAAGGGTCTCCTCGAGGTGGAGCGGGAAATCCCTGGACGGGGAAATCCAGAGCAGGGAGGAAGAGATCGTATTGGGCTGTGCGGGGGGCTCAGCGCCCTCTGCTGCTTTTTTAAATACAGAATTTAAAGCCCTGGAAAACAATAAATATTAAACACTTGTCGTACAGTGCCTACCAGACTTAAAAAGACCGAGTCAAGATCTGATCCTGCAAACAACTGATAAAATGAAAGAATGTGGGTAACTCCAAGTAATTGAATGGCACTATATCTCAGATGGAAAAGCTATTCAAATTTGCTTTCAGTGAAAATATTTTTGTACGGCTGTGTCTTGAGAATACTTCTAACAATACTCAATTCTGTAAATAACTTTACCTAACTCATTATTCCCTTTGAAAAAACTGTGCCAGCAGTTTAAGAGGGGATGTTACTCACATTCCTAAGTATTTTTGATCCCTAAAAATGAAGAAATAAGTCAGATGACAGAAGTCTGAAGATCTGACTTGATCATCCTGAATCAGGCTCATCCTGTTCGGATGAACTGAATGAACCAATTTTCCCAATTCCACTTTAAAAATGTCTCTAAAATGTCCCGCTTTCAAGATGCTACTGGTATGCATTACATTACTGATATGCCTCTCAGCTCTTTCATGTCCTGTTTATGTATAATTGAAATATAGCAGTTGATAATATAACTCTGGGATTATTTTCAGCGTTTGGTTTCCAGTGGGTATACAAATCCAGTTTGGAATATTTCTGAGGACAACTATTACTGGATAATATAGCATCAGTGTTATGAAAAAAGTAAAATAACATTTTCAGTGTTTAATTTTCAATTGGGAAATGGTATGAATGCAAAGAATGGATAAAGGTTTCCAAATCTCAATTGTTTATTTATTCAACCACTTGAGTGGTTCATATTGGTTGATTATGAATCACTAAATAAAAGCAGCAAGAAATTCAAAACAAAACATACATGTTTTTAAAACATCTCTGACAAATCGTTTGGTATGTAGTAGTTTGGTCATTTGATGTCTATGAAATATTGTCATCATATAGTATATTTTATAAACAGCATACATTCAAATATCTAATAAATGAGTAATAACTTGGAAAAATAAAGGCTGAAGTAACAATGCTGTAAATGCTAAAGAAATTTAATTGATGAAAAGCTGGCACTACATCAGCCTAATACTTTTTCGAGTCAAGCAGGTTTTACAGTTAATAACCTAATGCTAGCTCCAAAATACCATGTTCAGGTGAGAGTAGTACCAGAGGATATAAGGTTCCCGCTGGCCTACAGGCAGCGTGTCTTCTTCAGGAACTATTTTCTTCTGCTTTTTCCCTGACTGCAGCTGCCCCTACATTTGCATCCTCATCAAAGAATAGCTGGACAGTACAAGCTGCTACAGAAACACCAAAGCACATTGTAATAAATACATGTATGGCTCTGTCAAAGACCTTACACTAGGTAAAATAAGAAGCATCAATCACTTTTTTCATACACTGATCATAAACTCATAAATATAAAAGGGATGTAATGATTGTGGGAAGGTAAAATTGTGATCTCAGGCAGAAAGTATGTCTTCAATAGACAATTGAAGTAAGTATATATAGACAATTGAAGTATCAATTCAATAAGAATTAACAACAACAACAATATTCAGAAATATGGAAAAACTAAACAAGACAACCAAAGAGTTACCCAGAAGACAATAAAACAGGGAAATCTGAAGCACCCTAGCAATGTCTAACCAAAAGTCACTAAAGCTGAAATTCACTGAAACTGCCACGGTGGATTCTCCCCTAAGAGATTATTTTTCTTATCATCACCATTGCTTTTATTAGAGGAGGAAGAAAAAAAAAATCTCCTAAGTCTCAGGAAATGCAAGCAGAGTACTGTTCTGGAAGTACTGTTATCAAATCCAGAAACCCCAAATCTATCCAGAGTAGGTAACAACATCTACAGAATGTGATTCTACTTCACAGAAAAGGGTTTTGTTGGAGAAAAGTGTACTCTCTTAGTTAAGGTGCAAATAAATACTTTCTAATCATAGGCAGAGAGAAGCAAGAAATGAAACTCTTCTGCTTTGGCTGCTTAAATAATCATATCTTAAGCTGAAGGAGAAAAGGCAAAATTTCCCTATTTCTGGGAAATCAGTTTCTAGACACAAAAAGATATAAACATAGGAGGCCATATCCGCATGCTGGAAAAATTGTAATCAAGTCCTTCATCAGATAACTTGAAATAGGAAATAACTCTCATCCAGCTCTCAGTAAATTAAACTGGACAGCTGCCACCTCAGTAAATTAAACTGGACAGCTGCCATTAACTTTAGTGGAGTTGGATCCTTACCAGAGGGACTACTATACTGAGGGATCAGACAAATTTAACTCAGACAGTATAGGTAAGAGCAGGGTTACCCAACAAATATTATTAAAGGAAGTACAGATCTGCCAAGAAATGAAAAAATTTCTTAAAACTTGCTCTTTACTCAGCCTCAAATGTGAGCCTTCTATGTATTTTTAAAAGAACATGTATTTTACTGTTGCTCCTACTATCCTCAGCATCAGCCTGCAAATAGGACAAGGAGTATCACGTTTGCTTATTTTCAGAACTAGCTGTTCTGTCTGAAAACAAATAGAGATCAGCTGACAAGTTTTAGCAGTTCACCTCAAGAGTTCAGATAATCTAGCTTTTCATTCAAATGGCACAGAGGAGGATGCTGGGGATAAAAACAGAGGATGCATCTAGATTCACAGTGAGATCAAGTATTATAGGACCAACTGGAAGAAATTTTGACACATGCAGAGCATAATGAAGACTGGAATGTAACAAGTATTACAAAAATATTACTAAAGGCAAAAGAGATTAAAAGAATTAAGCACTGGGATGTAAATATATGTTTTCCAATACATCTAGTAATCAAAAGAGACTTTTCTCAGGCTTTGATGGACAAAGATAAAACAATTGTGTGTCTCCGAAGGGAGTTTGGAAATACTGAACACATTATTTTTGGCCTGGCATCGGAAAATACAAATGCCCTTCAGGAAACTGAAACTTACTTCAGGCTTTTCCAGAATGTAAGAAAAGCAAAGCATTTCAGAACTGTGCTAAGCATTTGCTTTAACTCATACTTCTACAACCCTGTTAAATACCTATACGATGAACTTCAATTAATTTCCTCTAGACAAAAGAGATAACAAATTCTCGATACTTTAATGAATTATTTGAACAAAATGCACGTTATGCAACATGTTAGTTATCCAACATTTCTAACCCTCTTCCTGCATTTTTAATGTACTGCACTGTCTTATGGAGGCTATTAGAGGAAAGCTGAAAGGCTAAACCTCAGGCAGAATTTGGTCTTTTAAAACCTTCACCACCGGTTTTATGATTTATAGCCAAGAACCTATGGAGAAGAGGGCTAATCCTTCTCTTTTGGCAGAGGAGATTTAGAAAAAAAAAAGGTGGAAGGAAACTCATGTAATTTGACATTCTGTTTCCTGTGTCAGCAATAAAATGCTTCATGGCACTTCGCACCAATATCTGCATCTAGAGCCACCATTTGGGATTTCTGCTAAAATACCCAGTGCTGGAGTAATAACTTCTATACAGGGCCCCAACACAGAAACACATGCAACATGTTTACTACTAAGCATTTTTGTGTGCTTGAGAGGGCAGAATCTTTCTGTGGAAGGCATGGCATTCAGGGGAGAAGATGCAGCTAAGTCTAACTCAACAATTCTTCAGCCTCAGATCATGGAGGTATTACAGCAAGTTCATACCTCAGTCCCCCACTCAAACCGCAGCCCTCACCCATCTCATGAGAGATCTCCTTGGGATGCGCACTGGACGTCTAAGAAAGCCTCTTGCAGAGTTTCTGATGCTTTACGGAAGCAGCTGGGATGAAGAGCTTTCACCCTACGCAAAGAGAAGAGTGTCTGATACCTCTACAGTATGATCATGCCTAAATAAAAGCAAGAGGAATGTGCTATAACTCAAATGAGAACTATTCTCGCAGGGAAAACATACCTGCATCAACAAAGAAGGAATGCCCTTCAAGCACCACGTTCAAGGTAGCACCTTTAATATGGTCATATCTTGATCAAGTAACCGAAAAAACATGAACCTGGAGGACGTGTATGAATACAGCTGACTACATGGCTTATACAGCAAATAATGATCTGCCAGCCTCAAAATTTTCAGTTCTCAGCAACCTCAACAGCCCGCTATATGGGTTATATACTGTCTTTCCTTCCTCAGTGCCTACTGGCTTTTTGGTTCCCAGAGCTTCCCTGACCCTTTGCTTTCCCTAACTCCCTCCACTTTTTTTCTCATCACCTGACAATAATACAACCTCCGTATAGCCCCCAAGAGGGGGAGGAGAGCATCACTGACTCCCTATAATTTTCATCTCCGGATGGGAAGGATGAGATCTACATGCAGATCTATTTAAAGGGTTGTGTCTGTTTCAGGAATTGTAACTTTGTTCCTAGCTACAAAAAGAACACCAACGCATTACCCTGTAACCCACATCACACCTTACAATTGTACTCCACATCTAACTTGTCATCTATTAAAAAAAGGGAAAAAAGAAACGACTTGAGAAAGTTTTATCAACTGCTTATTTCACTTTTCTGGAATTTCTGAAATACTGTATATAAAAATAAATGCATCTACTTCCTTCATTATCTTTCTCAGGCACCAGCTCCCCAGCTATGACACTTCCTGTTTGGTTAGCCTGAAGGCATCCAGAATCCACAAAAGATGCCAGATAAAATAATACAGAAGTGTGATAACTTGCATAGACAAGACAATACAAAGTAGCTAATTTCTTATTTTCTTCTATTCAGAGGCATTGTCTATTTCACTTCACAGAAGGAGCAAGAAGTTAATCTAAAAATAAATCGAAACCACCAGAGAAAAAAGTCCCTACTTTTTATCTTAATCTCTTGTTGCTGGCAAAAAACAAGCTGTGGAAATTCCGAATCTATTTCTTAAAAAAAGAAAGCATGATTTTAGTGATGCTGGATCTAAAAGTGAAACTGTTGAATAGCCTTTAAATCCACATACTTCTTAGAGTGCCAAGTACTGTACTGTAAGTCAAACTTTGTTAGTTTGGGTAGCTGAGCTTCTATTGTCTTCATAGTGACAGATGTAAAAAAAGTTTTCCTTTTGAAATATTCCCCAGTGTATATCAAGAGCCAAATTCAAATACGAACCTTGGAGTATTAAAAATCTCTTCGGGAATTTTGAAGTGAGAGCTCAGATCTACTTTTATTTTGAGTCAAATATATTGAGACATGTCAAAGTCATTTGTTCTCACTGGAATTATAGCTTTTCAGACAAAACTCATTCAAAATGGTCAGAGTCAAAAAATAAAGTGGGATTTGGGTCAAAGTGCAGATGCTAGCTAGGACCTGGGATACGGCAAGATAAAGTCAGCTGAAAACATTTAACAAGGAATACGACCAAGCTACTTAACTCCCCCAACACTCCACATGAAATTCCAATACCACTAAATATCATTGTGTACCTCATTAAGGCCAGCATTTCACATGATCAGGTGAAGTTAATCAAGAAAAGGGTGGAGAACTTTTTGACCAAGCTTTGTTATTACTCACCAGCTCTCCAAGGCACTTGTCGATCCTTGACTATGGGAAAATGGAGACCAGTCACTTCCTTGTTTTCCACCTCCTTCCTGCCCTTCACTCATGAGGTACATGTATGTCCCTATGGACCCAGAAAGACAAAGGGGAATGATGAGAGCAAGGTCTGTAACAGACCATTCCAGCTGAAACAAATGCAGAACTTGGATTCCCCTACACAGGCTACTGAAAACTGCACTGCTACTAATTGATTATCCTTCAACTTGTCTATCACAGACTATATTCTTTATTCTCTTACAATGGTTCATATTCTGGAGCTGGTTTCAGCTGTATAGGTGTTACTTTCGCTGCACTGCGTTATATAAATGTTATCTTTGTAGTCCCACAGTGGACTGGCTCACTAAAAGATAGAAATATTACACAGGTATCAGAAAGGAATTAAATAACTTAACATTGCATGATTCAAGAATCATGATTCTTTAAATCTCCCAGGGATTGCTCAATTTTTTATTTTATTTTTTTTTTTAAAGACACATAAGGAAATCTTTCTTTTATCTAGATATTGTCACTCTTCCCTCTCTGGAAGTGGACTGAAATTTCTAAAGGAAGTGACACTCCAAATAGAAACAAGAAAGAATGAACGGATTTTTATTTCCGTCAAGCCAAAATGACAAGTATCCAAGAGAAAGTATTTTGCAGTAGCAAAATATGTGTGTTTGTGTGTGTGTACATATACTAATAAACTGAGTGACACTTAAAGCCAGCTGCAAGTCTGTTAAGGATCTGGCACCTTTCCTTTATCTCTTGAATGTGCTCTACCCTAAATCAACAAGATGCTGTTTTGTTACTTAGTCTGTTTCTCTCTCTCATTTTTTCACCGCAGAGTTAAGTATCATCTTAACTACTTGCTTTGTTAACACTTTCATGGAAGGAATATGCTAATGTAGGAGTAGCTAAGTGATAAAAACCATGGGCAGCTGAGTTTTTCTAGACAAGCAAGGGTAAGAAAGATGTGAGTTGCTGGGGTTTATTTCCCCTTTCAAGACAATCACTTGGCTAGGCATCAAAGCCCCAATCCTTGTGGTCTGATATAGGCAACTGAGCATGACTTTCATAGTTGTGTCACCCTCTATCATAGACCATGTTACTCTCTAGTGATAAGAGAGGCAACTTGAGAAATGTGACGCGTGTTTGAAATTGCTGTCAGGCAGGATAAAGGCCTGTGCTGAATTAGCTTGAGAAATGTCTGACTTTCAACATTCCCATGCTTCTTAGCCAAGGATCCCTCCTGAAATTTCCCAGAATTATATGTGAATACCAACTCATAAGGAACAGATGGTTTAATGACCCTTTTGGTTGGATAAATTTTGCCTCTATTGACTTCATTTCTGACTATAATTAGCTCCACAGCATGAGGAACAGATATTAGTACCTGTCTCCCAACAGTTCAGCTTCAGACAAATGCTCTACCTATACGGTTTTCTGGCCGAGGTTCTCCCCTGCTGAATGAAATCGCTACTGACTGGGTCAGACGGCCATGCAGCTACTGCTCGAGCTTTCACTTGGAAGCTGGGATATCCTAATGGGAAACAAGATATTTCTGTGCAGCCCACAGTTTCTAAAAGATAAGGAAGACATGCAAATGTTGCATATGCGGTGTCGAATCCATCAAGGACTAAATCCAGTTAAGTTCTGGTAGGCTCATGAGCTTGAGATTAGTCTTACCTCTGTAATGTCCTTCTGTATTCAGGATATCAAGTAGTATGGTGACTTGGTATCTGCAAGACCATCAGGATCAAGGCACAGGAATTTCCAGGGGCATATTCAAGGGCGAATTCATCAAGATTTTGAGCGAATTATCTTACACTAAGTTTCCTAGATTATTTGAAAGAATACAATAGAATTATCTTACACTAAAGAGAAATACTCTTGAATAATTCTGTATTATTGATCTAAAGTGTTTGATATAAAACTATCAGCCTTTAAATGATTTATTATTACATTTTATTACACTGATTCATCTGCTATGGTGCCAAGATCCAGCTGCTGACTTTGCTTTTCTTGCACTTTCAGGTGTCTTGTGCCGTGACTGTACTGAATTTTGTGGCACGAAGAGAGATGTTCATTCTACCTCTAAGGTCAGCATATGGATCCTGCTGTAGCTTATGGCTTCAGAAAATGTGTTTGTACATAGCAAATATATTCTATTAACAATTTAGGATCTCAGACAATTTAAGAAAAAATTGTTTCCCTTTATCCTGCAAATTGGATTTGTTAATTGGAATGTTTATTTTTGTTTATTTTTATATGACATTTATTAATTGGAAAATAAATAAATAAAATGTATTTTTAAAATATTACTAGAAGTTTTTCACATTTAAGGAAAAGGAGGACAAATTTTCAGGTGGAGTCTATGGTACAGAATGATTACAAGAATGCACAGAAATTTATCACAAGGTTGAAAAGTAAGCAGTGTGTTTAAAAATCCGTAACTAAACCCAGGGGAAAAGCAATTACTAAATTAATCTGCACTATTCACTAGTGCCTACTAGATCATCATATTGCTATTTTAATACAAGTGACAACACTGCTTTCTAAGTTACCAAAAGGATTGGACAGTACAGCTGAAAAAGACCATTAATTTAGACTAAAGCTGCAGCTTATTATAAAGATGAATAAATGAGGAGTTGACAATTTTGCATAATATTCTTTGTGAAGTTAGTTTCATTTTTGTGAATTATCTGTAAACTTACCTTGATCTTTTAATTTCTTACTCTTGTTTATAAAATTTAATGTTTTAATGAATGCATTTCATACTATGGTATTTGTCTATTTTCGTCAGGATTTGTATTGTACAATACGGCATTTAAGGTTCACTTTATCCTTTCAATCCTTTTTTAGGCGATCAAAACCCAGACAACCAAGTTCAGTGCTTTGACTGACAGACACAACTATCTGCTGGACTTGACTGGGAATAGCACTTTTCTGGCACATAGCTATAAAGCAAACCATTGTGAATAACTGGAAATCCTGGCAGGATCTAATTAGAAGAAATAGGACATAAAAACAAGCAAGAAGTCATCTGTAATTTCTTGGTAATCTCATAATAACCAAGTTATATCAGTTGTAACAATTTCATAGCTACTCTTTAAGGTCACTGAAGGACAAACACTATGGAAGCCTAACCTGATATGTGATAGAGAACTTCCAGTTTTATCTTGGCTTTAATTGCTCACTGTCTGTCAAAAGAGAAACGTCTACGTTATTCAGAGAGCGCTCTCAAGTACAGGGAATGTCAAGAGCCTGGAGTGAAAGCGAGTGTAGTCTGCATTGTCACACCTGGGTTTACAACACACAGAAGTGTTCAGAAACAGTGAGAGCAGCTTTGTGCTTCTCAAATGAATACGCAGTACGTGCCCAGGAGCCCGAGGCAGCTTTAAAATCTTGCTGTTAAAAAAGGAATGAAATCTACCACTCCTGCCAATGTAATAGTGCTTTCCACAGAGATAATTTCTCAGAGAAGAGCCTGTGAAATTTAACTACTCAACTGAGAAATTTACTACTCAATGTATGCATGAATGCCAGACACTGCCACGAACTTCTTCATAAAATTTCCAGGATCCACATGGTCAGAGGCTATTGGAAAGAGTAGTAAAACAGATTCTTACAAACACCGTAAGTTCTTCTTACTCTAAAGCTTAAAATCTTTCCTGACAAACCCTAGCTTTCTGCTCAAGAATCACTTACAGCCGCTCCACAAAACAATAAATAATGCAAATAGATAAAAGAACAAAAAACAGAGAAAAAATGGAAAACAGGAAATGGATATTAAGGAAAAAGCTCTTCCAGAAACATTATTACATAGTCTTAAGTCTTCAGTATCTCACACATTTTAGGAAAAATGTTTTGTCTTCTCAAGTAGTTCAAATGGAGGGACAAATGGTGCTACCACGTACAGTTCAGATAAAATAAATTATTATAGAGAATATTCTTATTCTCTTATTCTTGTTTTCATGTACTATAAAACACATGATGTGTTTTGGGTTGGAGGGTACACTTTTTATCTTCTTACACCAAAAGGAACCTTTTTCATCCACAAATTCTGCTGCTGCTGTTTCTCCCTTACATTTAGAACTATTTGCTTGTGATCTTCTCCGTAATATATTGAAAGAAATGCAACCCTACACCAAAACTTTTGACGTAAAGGTCTAATTTTCTAAGAGAAAGAGGGTTTTTCCAGTTAATTCAATATTCCTCTGAATCTTTGTGAGAATCATGGGAAGTAGGCCAGAGGACAGCTAGTACCCCAGACCTCACCCCTCCTCCATTTACAATATTTCTGAATTCAAATCCTGTTTGACTGTGCTCACCAGTGTAGTTTTTATAAGAGAGAGATGGCATTATCCAGACTTTGACACACCACTGAGGTTTTGGTTTATCAAACTTAGATTTTTATCAGAATATACAAACACCTGCAGTGGATCAGTCAGAATTTTATCAAGGCCAGAATCCCATCCCTGACACTGGCCAAAAGCAGATGAAAAGATAAAAGTTTGAGAATGGGGGAAGCACAAGTGACACGGTTGCTTACACAGGGGCTCAGAGAGAGATGGTTTCTATGCATTTAGTCTGTGTTTTTGAGAGCATAATTCAATACAGGAGAAATCCTATGAGCAAATGGAAAAGAAATTTGAGTAATGTCTACGAGATTTGGAAATACAAGTCTACTGACATGTATTCCTAAAGCTTGTAGCCTTTGAAAATCTTATTCTAACCAGTGTAGAAAACCAGAAATAGTACTACTTACACTAGTTAATTTAGAACTCTGGAATCACCTGCTCTGTTCTGCCACTCTAAAACCAACTCTGCCGCTTTATACAGCTCTCCTCTGCACTACTACCGCAAAATCTCTTTTTCTCCGTGTAACTGCAAAACAATCTCAGTCATTCCTGAATCTAGAATGCCACTGAACTTTATCAGATGAGCTCTTCTGAGCATCCCAATTTTGCACAGAGTCTCTGTCAAATTTCTGCGTTGCAGATCAGCTGTTGCTGCCTGCTAACTGCTGCTAATGGGTTACTCGCAGGCCATCTCACAGTCCTGTTACCACGTTTTGGCTGCCTC